CCTGGGCAAGGGACGTGTGGTCCTTGGGAGCAGGGACAGAGCTGCCTGAGCTGAGCAGAAGGACAGATTAGAGTGGATCATCCCCCCTGAGTCTGTGACCCCAAAAGGACGGGCACCATATGCTTCCCGTCTTGTTAAGCTCCGTGGAAGAGGGAGTGGGCAYAGGGTGCTGCTTCTGCTTGGAGAAAGGGGGAGTGATTTGCTGGAGGAGATTGAAATCTGTGTTTGCCCAATTATCAGCYGCAGTGCTTAATCACTCTGCCCTGGATCTCGCCGGCAGCCGCAGGGGCAGTCGGATGTGGAGGCGGGAGGCAGATAGGATTTAATAAAGAAGCAATTTTATGAAGGAATACTTCGCTTTTGGCATTTTCTGTAGGAGTGGGAAAAATGATCTTTTTTTCTTCGGTAACGCCAGGGAAAGCAAGAAAAGCAGAGCTCTGTGTTTCAGCTYCTGGGGGATTGACACCATGTGGTCTCCACATCCCATGGAGATCCTGCAAGAGAGCCAAGGAGAGGGGCACGAGAGATCAGGGGAGAAAGGGGGGAAAGCCTGTCCAGGAGCTGGAACCCCCAGCACTGCCCCAGGGTCCCATCTGCAAGGGACAGAGGTCMCCAGAGCTGACCACAGTCCAGAGTTATTCCCAACAGGCACATGGCACCACCAGTGAGCCACAGCAGAGGAGGGAAAGGTTTCCTTGGGCTGAGCCTGTGGGGTTTGGTGTCACTGCAGCACTGGGACAGCAAACAGGCCAGGAGCTGGGCTGGGACCTTCCACAGCAGCCTGGGAACTCCACCCCAGCCAGTGTCAGCCCATCATCCTGACAAACAGCCTGTCCCCAGCGCCTCCATCCTCCTCAGGAAGCGTTTGATTGGCATCCAGGCACGGTCTCATCTGAACAGCCCAACAAGCCGTGATTTATGGGATGTCTTTGTCTTCAGACGCTGCTGTCAGCAATACTCATTCTCAGGAAAAGCTGCCGATGCCTGCAGATTTCCAGAGGTCTCTCTCATGGACAGGCTGCCCTTGCTGGAGGATATCAAACAGAAGCTTTAGTAAAAGTAGAAATTATGATTTGCTAATATTATCCTATAGCCCTCCCCAGAAACCAGAGGTCCCAAGAWTTCCAGAACAGAAGAGGAAACAAATTGATGTGCTGTTCCTGGGCTCCAGAGATTCTCCTGCAGCTGGAGAAAATACATGATGCTTTCTCAGCAGCTACTCACAAGATCCCTTTTCCTAAACTGTCAGAATGTTCAATATCTTCCATGCACCCAGAGCAACAGAATAGCTTTCTCAGCATTAATGGGAAAGAATCCAAGACAAAAATCACTACCGACCAAATTATGGTTGAGGGGTTTTTTTTTCTTTTTATGCAGGAAAAATCCGTGTTTGAGCAATATTCCCTGGACAGAGGAGCAGCTGATCACTGCACACCACTCTCACCTTGCTGATGCAAAAGGGCTTGGTCTGTCTCACAAAAAAAACACCTTGTCTGCCTTTCAGAACCACCTTGGATACTATGGGCAAAGTCTTGGCTATACCTGCAAGATCCAGGCCTGGCAGGTGATAGAGTTTTAGGCATTTTTATCCTTTAAATCAAAACCAAGCAGCATTTTGAACCAGAGAGAGATTTGAGCATCTCGGGAGCTGTTTTTTTTGTGACACCTCTAGGTTTCACATTCGCATCARCCTTTCTCCAAGTTTCACTCATCCCACCCATAGCAGGGCAGCAGCAGAGTCCCCACTGCCTTGCTGAGATCCTGAGCACTGARGAGCCACTCACAAATCCCAAGGAAAGTCCCCACAACCTCCACCAAGGGATGGCACCAACACAGGGTCACRGTGCCAGTCTTGGCCACAATCATGCCTTGGTGCCAGGGGTTGGGACTCCACAAGGAGCTCTGTTCCTGCTTAAGCCCTTTGTCTCTCTGGTTCAGAAGGCTGGAAAAYGTGAACCACCCCAAATGAGCTTGTTGGGAAATGCCATGGTTTTGAAGAGGATTAAGAACCATTTGTGGCTTCTAAGTTGTGATTCACGATCATCTGGGTCTGGTTTGTGATCTTTGAATGCTTTTGACTGGTGACTGTTGTGGTTTCCTGGGGGCAGTGGTGGCTTTCTTTTTGTGCATCAAGTCTCTACAAAAAAAACCAAAATCCAGCCCTGGTACAAGCAATCCTCCAGCCTGTCATGGAGGGACCATCACAGGGAAATAGATAGTTCCCCACATTTTTAATTCCCCTGCGATGTAATTTTTTATCCCTTTGCAATATTTTACTACTAAAAGAAATGTAACTTGAAAGCACTCAAAAGATGATGTAGAAATTCATCCTGCTGGAAGAGAATCACCTCTTCCTGCTGGTCCAGCTGGAGGCAGACCTTACCCATCACCCCTTCCCCACRTTCCTTGTGTGGCATCAATTCCCTCTCCAGCTACTTCCAGCAGCCAGAGGAGACACCACCAGCAACTGCAGAGATCCTGTGTCCTACACCACGTGTGGTGGCCGCCACCCAAAGAGGYGGCCAAGGAGACACCATCCCGTGCCAGCCCYGGCTTTGGGACCYGCCTGTCCCCTCCATTCCTCCACGACAGGCTCAGCAAGTCACACAGCACGGCTGACTCATTTCTCTCTACTCCTCCAGCTGATGTGTTTGGAGGAACAYGCTGCTCTGACAAGGTGACACATCCTGAGAAAGCCCACACTGCCGAGCACGGCACCAGGAGCACCCAGCACGGTAGMAGTTCGCAGCTCTTTTTCATTCCTCCCCAGCCAAATGAGCCCCAAGCGTTTCTGTTTGATTTTCCTGAAGGATATTGAATTGTTGTCAGTCAGGGSAGAGGAGCCCTGAAATTCCCTGGTGTTGAAGGCATCTCATAAAGACACAGCTGTCAGCAGAGACGCTTGGAAAGGAAGAGCATTTGCCAACAGAAAACTGCATTAAAACCCAAGTGTGCCTGCTGTTCAGCTGCAGCCTATGCTGGAATCTTCTTTTGGCAGAGGCAACTGCCCCTGAGTCTGTTGGTTTGGCTCAATTCGTTGTGGAATAATTAAGTTCAGTCCATTGCACTGCATAATCTGGAGTTTCTTCAACCTTCTTCAGTAGCAAAGCACTTAATCTCATCCAGCTCTGGGARCGGTTGGGAACATGAAAATCAGCTAGTGCAAAGCTATCAGGAGCCTAAGCAGTAAGAGGATGAAGAGAGAAGTGTCCAGGAGGCAGGGCAAGGCCAGCAGCCTGTGCTTTGATGCCTCTGACTTTGGGGGGAAGCAGAAAACCACAGCGTTGCACACACTCGAAATATCCCAGGAGCCAACAGAGTTGCCACCTGCAGAGCATAAAAACTGAGATTTACCCATCCAACTCAAGTTTGGAAATGCGCCTGGATGTTTCCAAGGAATCTGAGGAAAAATGTTGCAGTTCCTGGACAATCCAAACCATCAAATTTCCTGGCTATAGCAAGGGTGTCTAAACTGAAAAATGTGTTTTACCAGGAGTGGGCACATCCCAAGCACGGGTAATCAGAAGAACTCTTTTCAGCACTGCTCTAGTTACATGTGTTGGATTAAAGAGGAATTTTTTTTGCCTGGTTGCCCTGGTGTGTAACCACCAATGCCCTTGCTGATTCCCCCTACAACTTTGGGAAGTGAGCCCAAAAGTCCTAYTGGCACTTATGGGTTCTACTCACACAGTGATCTGGCAAGTAGCAGGGGACAGTGTTSGACTGAGATGAACCTCTTTCAGCTATAAAAAATGATCACATCTCCCTCCCTTGCTCCTCAGAGGGTGCTAACACCACATGAAGCACCGTCCCAGGCAGGCTAAAGGATTGTTGTCTGTGCACAAAGGTCCACTCACACCCAACCCATCTCCTGAGAGCTGCTGAGCCGGTCAAACCCAAAGCCACTTCTACTCTCTGAGTTAATAAAATAACAGAACGCCACTAGGAGCAGTTCTTTCTGCTTCGTGTTCCAGGGAAACCCAGTTGAGAGGGAGGAATCTCCCCATGACCACCAAARCAAAATCAAGAGATGTTTATGGCAGGGGAAAGCACCCTCCAGAGCCACGCTGGGAATGGAGCATCCCTTGGACAGTGGAGCAGCTGCCAGTGGAGCTGAGCTTTCTCCCTCTCAAACAGCTCCTTGAATTGCTCTTGGCATTGACTTTTTCCTGTTCAGCTAATTAAAAATCTGTCTTTGAGTCATAAGCCCCCATTAGTAATAATTTGCTTTGCACTTCTCCAGTGATTTATGGCTGAGATATCAAAGTGCTTTAGAAACATTAATTAATCCTTCTAATCCCCGAGGGACAGATCCACTCTCTGCAATGCACCATTGGTGGTGTAACCGTAGGAAATCCCCAGGGTTTACTCSCAGCAGCAGGCAGGGAGAGGGGAAGGGAGCAGGGCTGACCCAGCAGCTCATTTCGGCTGCTGTCTGCAATCAGAGATGTGCAGCCAAAATAGCAGCACTGAATGTGCAGCCACGAGCCAGCCCAAGGCGCTGCCAAGCTCAGCCCTCCAGGAGCAATCCTTGCTCCCTTTCTGGGGGGAAGGGGAGCTGCATCACCCCAGCTCTGCTTCTTGGATCACAGCAGGGAAGGTGGGTGTGGATCAAAGCCATCTTCACCCAGAGGTGGCTCCAGCAGACAGCTTCACCCTGTGAGTGGCAGCAGCAGGGTCATTAATCAGAGCCACACCACCACTAACTCCATTTCCTGCCCATTTCTCCAATCTCGCTCCTTTGTACAAAGTTGCTTTATCACAGTTTGCAGTGCAGACCCAGGGCTGACCCCCACACCTGGAACATGGCCCCRGTCCTTCCTGGAGATAAGGATTGTCCCCTCCATTGGCCTGGGAGAGGCTTTCATCCTTGCGCCCACCAATGAGCCAGTTGCCACCTGGTGCTGTCCCCACGCTCTGAATGTTGTCACCACAGGTCTGCAGGGTGGAGCTGGTTGTGTGGTGTGGTGCCAGAAACTGGGAAAGGTATAAAGGTCCCAGCAGGCTKCCAGAGAGAGACAGGATCTCTGAGACACCGAGGAGTGTCCCGGTTTCTCTCCGCTGTAAAACATCACCWTGACCATGAAGGTGGCTGGTGTTTTCCTGCTCCTCTCCCTGGCACTCTGCTTCTACCAAGGTGAGTCCAACATTTTGCTTAGAGGAACATTTCCTCTCCTTGCTGAAGCTCCCAGGGCTGCCACAGGGGAAGGGGAGTGTGGGAAGRGACCAGCTGGGGCTGGGACCTTGCTGTGCCCTGGGCAGGGAACGCTGCAATGGCCAGAGTGCATTAAAGCTGCACTTGTCTGTGAGCAAACCTGAAACCAAGGGTTTCAAAGGGTGCACCTGCTCCCAAAAATGAACAGATCTGCTGGGCTGACACTCTTCCTTCAGGGGTAGGATTTGTCCTGTAACTGGTGATTTCTRGGACAGTGTGATCCTTTCAGAGTGAATAGGTGCTATTCTGGTTTTAAAAAAGCAAATCCAAGAAGACAGGAAATGAATCTATGCGAGGGAAAATGCAGCTCTCACTACCAAAGCCARTGTTTAAACCAACTGTGTTTTCAAAATCCCATATGGTGCAGAGGGATGAGAACAYGAGCTGTTGCTGCTCCTCAGGTCCTGCTTTAGTGGGCTCATTCCAAACAGGAAGGTGCTTCTGAAGCAGGTCCTCTGTCATCCTGTTTACTGAACAGAGGCTGCCACTGCAGGGCACAAAATCTGGGCTCATTTCAGATGAACTGAGCACGTGGTGAGCTGCAGCTCCRGGGTCTGGACTGGTGCTGGCCCAAAGTAAAATCCTTGAAATGTTAAACAGTGTGACTACCAAGTTTCACTCTATAGCCCCACTGCTACTGAGCCATGCTGATTGTTAATAGATGTAATCGAAATCCTCCATGTAAATTACTTCTGGATCTATGAGCGACCCAGAATCTTCTCAGTTCTGCCTTCTGCCAAACAAATTCARGTTGTTTTTCACAACACACCCAATGCCTGTTCCACCCATGTAGTTCCAGCTGCCAGCTCAGAGCCAGCCTCTTCATGGAGGAGCTCACCAAAGTCATGGCTTGCTCCCAACCAGCTTTGAACYGAGACCTCAGGGTCTCCTTCTAGCAGAGACCTACACCAACTTGTCTTGCTGTGCTTATTTGTGGTACAAACGGAGTAACAACAGAAAAATCACCCTGGATGTGCTCCAGCACCTGTCCAGTGCCAGCAGGAGTTTCTGTTACTCATGAACATGTGGCAAGATGTGACAAAAGCCACCTTTGCTCCCTGACAGCTGGCAGGTGACGTCTCCAGGAGTGCAATTTGCCTTGGCAGGGCCTCACACTGTCATGGTGTTTCTGCCAGGAGAAGGAGGGTGACACAGCAGGGAGGGATCCAGCTGAGAAACGTGGGAGATCCAAGGGAAGAAATCCTTTTCTGGGACAAAGTGTTTGAGTGAAGACTTACAATCCTTAGCCTAAACTGTCTTTATTCTGATCCCCTTGAAACCAKCCCAAGGGRTGGRTGCTGAGGTGTCTCCTCTCTCTCTYTCCATTTTCTCTAGGACTTGCCAAGGTGGATGCAGCTGATGTCAGAGGAACGGAGGTGAGGTCTCCTGTTTTGTGTAGGACACATGAGATAGCACTGACCCATACACTGGGGAGCCACCTTTGCTAAATACAGTGAAATAGAGTGGGTTGAGCCCAGAGATGCCAGGAAACCCCTTCCATCCCTTCAAAAAAAACAGTGGTACTGATTTTCCACTGCATTTCCCCCAAACACTGAAGGAAAAGTTTCTAAAAAGCTAAATATTGCTGTTACCTGCCAAGAAGGTCAGAAGTCCCCTTAGTCTCTGGCTCGCAAGCGTGAGGACAGGTATTGCTGTAGAATAAAAATAAAAACGGGGTAGAAAATGCTCAGATAATGCCCATGGACCACTATTTACTCAATATTGTTACTCCTGAGGGTGTGCAGCAGTGCCAGGTGGAGTTCAGCTGGCCAAGGGAGGCGGGCAGATGGTCCCCATGTTTCTGAGAGCTCACAGCGGAGCTCTGAGGATGGGCCATGAACACAGACAAAAATGTGCACCTCTCTGTGAAAGCAAAGCTCCCTTGGCAAACTGAAAACTGGTTTAACGTTTTCAAAATCACCCTTTCGTGTCTCCAGCCATCCTGTGACAATTTCAACATGAGAAGAGGGTGTCCCAGGGACTTTGACCCCATCTGCGGCACCGACRACGTCCTGTACAGCAACGAGTGCCTGCTGTGCCTTCACAACCTGTGAGTATCCAAACCTGCCCGAGCCTGAACGCCACACAGACGAGGGCTGACACACACATATCTGGGATTTCCTAGAAGGAAAGCTGCTTGCACGCAGCTGGGTGGAGCGTGGGCAGCGAGCCCGGCACATCTGGCACAGATTTGGGCTCCYGCACAGCTGCTCCAGCTGAGGAACGCGCCCGTTGTGGTTTGCTCGCAGCAAAAACGCTGCCCACGAGCAAAAACCTCCTCATACCTGCAGCTGCCAGGCAGCAGCGACTGCTGGCAGGTGTCCAGGATCTCAGACAAATGGCAAAGTCCTCGAGGTCTGCCCTGGTCTAGCATGCAGGCTGAAAGAATATTTTTTCCAGATGACCTCAGATGTGTGGTGGCTGAGGAAAAAGCTATGTTTTTGCACCCCAGAAATTTATGGCTGAGCTCTGCTTTCTGTCTTCTCTGCATTTGAAAGGATACAATTTGGTCTGGGTATTTTTAAGAATGAGCTTTATATTTAATCTGTGCTGGTGCCAGATCGCACTGCTCTAGCAGAAGGCCAGGTCCACATGCTAAGGGTGTCTCTGGCAAGACTTGATGCATTTCATCTGGCTTGGGCCCTAGGTAATTTAAAATATATTTATACATGGGAAGCACTCTGTGTCAGACAAGTGAAGGAATTACTTCCAACTCAATGCTATTAAGAGACTCAAAAATCTCTGTTGGGAAGATTGAGTCTTATCTGGAGCCAGATGCCCCAGCCTGCAGGGCTAAAGGAGCTTCACCCTTGACCTCACCCTCACCTGGTGTAGGCAGGGATTTTTGGTGATCAGGCTCACAGGCCCATCTGCCATCAGCAGAGACATTTGYAGCAGAAGCTCAAAGCCCAGCTTTTCTGTCCCTGGATGAGTGGGCTTGTGGAGCCAAATTCTGCTTTCAGGAGCATCACCTCCCCGCTAACTCTGCAGGAGCAAGGAACAGAATCCAGATCACCAGGAAAACAAAAAAAAGAGAGAGCCTGGATAAATATTGTCAGTTGGGTTGTCCCCTCTTTGCTTCATTAACCCAGGCTGCTGCCACACATTCTGCTCCTGGCCTGCTCAAACGCTGGTTTGCCTTTCAAGGCTGGAAGTGATGCAGTCGGGCAGAGAGGCTGAGCGGGATCTCCTCAGCAAAGGCAGCGCAGTTAATGACCCAGCACGGCCTGGCAGGGCAGTAATGACCCTGCTGGAATAGCCAGAGCCCAGCACCAGCTGGCCCTGAGCTGTGCAACAGATGGGGGTGGGAGGTTCATCAGACACAACATCATTAGGGCTTTGGCCACGGGCCAGGAGCGGGGTAAAGGGAGTGAGGAAGGCTCCACGGTCAGCTCTGCATGGTGGTACCCGGGATGCTCCATCTCCCTTGGGCAGGAGAGGCTTCGGAGGGGATGGAGACTCCAGTGGCCACAGGAAGGGAAATGGGGGTACAAAATAGAGAAGGACTGAGCTGGAGGTGTATCCAGAGCCAGCCAGGAGTGAGAGAGGGGCAGGATGGATGAGAAGCTGGTGCTGAATTCGCCTTGTGCTGACAGGCACAGCATTCCCAGAGCTCTTAAAACTCTGGTTTGTTCAAGCTCTCAGCAGCTGCAGCTGGAAATGTGCTTCTCCTGGGGCTCAGAGCCCTGAGCCTTGCAGCTCCCCTGCCCTGTTCCCAAGTAAAGAAATGTTGAGGTTTGGAGCAGCCACTTGTTCTCCTGGCCAGGGCCATCTGAGCCGGGCACTGGAACTCTGAATCTGCCTGGTGCCAAATATCCTGGGGGAAGAGATAAATGGAGTGTCCTCATCTATAAAGCCCTGTTCCCTGGGGAAAAGTCAGCTGAGGGGCAGGATGAAGTGTCATTTGCAGTTTTGTGTGTGCAACTGGCCTGACAAGAGCTGGAAGCCTGCAAGGAGTCTGGGAAAAGCTACGGAGAGCATCTGGCGGGTCCCTGCGGCAGCAGTGTCTCGCTTGTCGCCTTTGGTCACTTCACTGTGACCAGCATGCAAAATGCTTTTTGCAAAACGCAAATCATTCTACCAGCATTTCCCTAAGCACCTGAGAAATGGATCTGTCTTTCCAAAGAGGGGAATATCATGGTTCCGTGTGAAAATGGAACGATTTGGAGTAATCAGGTCCACCCAAAGAGGGGAATATCATGGTTCCGTGTGAAAATGGAACGATTTGGAGTAATCAAGCAAAAAAATGGGAAAAAAAAAAAAAAAAAAAAAAAAAAGAAAAAATCGTTTTTTAAAGGTACCTATTTAATATTTTCGTCTTTTGTGCAGAAGCAATCAGGAGAGGAGGCTGGGAGCAGGCCAAACCCAAGCAAGACACAGTGGCAGGCTTTTGTCTCTAAAAGCCTGCAAAACAAATTCATAACCTTTATTGTCTGCAGTCAGACAGGCATTAGAGGTGTCTTAGTGCTGTCCTGCAGCACAGAGGTGAATTATCCTGCCAGGAGGTGTCAGAAAGCACTCTTGAGCTTACTGCAATTAATTAACACATGTCCATGGTAACCCTGAACTCYCTGTCAAGAATACGTGGCCTTGCTTGCTGTGAATAACACTTAGACGATGATTTAAGCAGCATTTTCCTTTCTTTCTGCCTTTGTCCTCTGAGCTGCATCTCAGGGAGCCCGAGGCACCCCCCAGCACTTTTAACCTCTCTTCCAGGCAAAGAAGCGCCCACGTGCGCATCAAGAACAGAGGGATGTGCAGAACCCCCCGCGCCAACTCCGCTCTGAACTGAGGCACAACCACCCTGGAGACGAGAGCGCAAAGCTGGCCCCTCACCCCCTCAAACCCCAATAAAATGGAAGCATCGCCACGTCTTGCACTTTTTTGTGGGATTTCTTACGCATACAGCAATCCTCCTTTCCCCCATGTTTAAAGCACCTTCCTGAAAAATGTGGTTTTTTTTCTGGTGATGTCTATAAAGAGCTGTGAGCAAATTATTGACAAAGCCCCAGGGATAAGGCTGGGACGTGCCCAAGGAGGCAGCCAGGCTCTGGTATAACAAGGAGGCTCCTTTTCTTGCATCAATAATTTTGTTTTTCTTTCCTAAACTTCCAGTGTTCGAGCGCTAGGAGGTTTTTAGCATTCTCATGACTTGCAATTGCGTTTGTTCAATACAGAGCATTAAAGCCCTTGCCCCAGAGCTTTTGCCAGGAGGAAGAGCCCAACAAATCATCTCCATGCTGACCTGTCTCCAGCCTTGTCCATATGACAGTGCCCTGTGCACCCAGAGTCACCAGCCTCACACTTGTCCTGCAGGTCACAGCTACCCAGTCCCTCAGAAAACAAAAAATATTCCATTTTTCCAAGCAACATTCTTTTTTTTTTCCCCTCTACTGGCCTTGGTGAGCTTTGCTGCTGGCACTGACAACCTGGTCTGAGGGCTGTGGGCTGGCAGGATGGGAGATGCCTTTCCCAGAAGGATTTGAAGGTGCTGGTGGATGAGAGGCTGGACAGGAGCCAGCAGTGTGCAGTCACAGCCTAGAAACCAACCTTGTCCCGGGCTGCATCCAAAGCAGTGTGGGAAGCAGGGAGAGGAGGGGATTCAGCCCCTCTGCTCTGATGAGACCCATGTGGAGTGCTGCACACATCTCTGGGGTCCCCAAGAAAGAAAGACTCAGATCTGTTGGAGCAAGTCCAGAGGAGGCCATGAAGACACTCCCAGGGCTGGAACACCTCTGCTATGGAGATAGGCTGAGAGAGCTGGAAATGCTCATCCTGGAGAAGAGAAAGCTCTGGCAGAGCTCAGAGCCCCTTCCAGTGCCTAAAGAGGATCCAAGAGAGACTTTCACAGGGGCTTGGAGGGACGGGGCGATGGGGGGATGGCTTCAGATTGACAGAGGGCAGGGTTAGGTTAAATATCAGGAAAAAAAGGTTTTTTACAATGAGGGTAGTGAGACACCGGAATTGGCTGCCTGGAGAAGTTGTGGATACCCCATCCCCAGAAACATTCAAGACCAGGCTGGAGGGAGCTCTGAGCAACCTGGTCCAGTTGAAGATGTCCCTCCCCACGGCGGGGAGGTTGGACCGAATGCCCTTTAAGGGTCGCTCCCAAGGCGGTTCCGCGGTTCTGCGCGGAGTGCGGGTCCCTGCATGGAGAGCGGGAGGAGCTTTCGGCACTGGAGGCCGCTGTTGCTCCGCCGCAGCCGGAGCCGCTGCCGGAGCCAAGCCCGCAGCTGGACCCGCAGCTGGATCCGCAGCTGGACCCGCAGCTGGATCCGCAGCTGGATCCGCAGCCGGATCCGCAGCTGGAACCGCAGCTGGACCCGCAGCTGGATCCGCAGCTGGATCCGCAGCTGGATCCGCAGCTGGACCCGCAGCTGGACCCGCAGCTGGATCCGCAGCTGGACCCGCAGCTGGACCCGCAGCTGGATCCGCAGCTGGACCCGCAGCTGGATCCGCAGCTGGACCCGCAGCTGGACCCGCAGCTGGATCCGCAGCTGGACCCGCAGCTGGAACCGCAGCTGGATCCGCAGCTGGAACTGCAGCCAGAACCGCAGCTGGACCCGCAGCTGGACCCGCAGCTGGAACCGCAGCCGGAACCGCAGCTGGACCCGCAGCTGGATCCGCAGCTGGAACCGCAGCTGGACCCGCAGCTGGATCCGCAGCTGGACACGCAGCTGGACCCGCAGCTGGACCCGCAGCTGGAACCGCAGCTGGACCCGCAGCTGGACCCGCAGCTGGACCCGCAGCTGGAACCGCAGCTGGACCCGCAGCTGGACCCGCAGCTGAAACCGCAGCTGGACCCGCAGCTGGAACCGCAGCTGGACCCGCAGCTGGACCCGCAACTGGACCCGCAGCTGGATCCGCAGCTGGATCCGCGGGGGGATGCGCGGCCGGGCGGGCGGGGAGCGGCGCTGGCTCCGCGGGCGCGCAGCTGGCGGGCGGTGCTGCTCCTGCCGGCCCTGCCGGGGGACTGGAAGCCGCTGAGTTGGGGTAGCCCAGGTGCTCGGCCTCGCCACGTCCCTGTCCCTCACGCCGCGGGACCCACGGGCGGGTTTGCGGGGATGCTCCGCCCGAGGGGCTGCGGGAACAAGAGCGGCTCCGGAGGGATGTGACCGCGTCTGCCTGGCACAGCACCGCCCTGGAGAGCTGGGCACTCCCCTGCTTGTGCCAAAGGGTTGCCGTGAGTCAGCCCAAAACAGAGAATTTGGGGTTGGGGGTCGAACCCTCGTGGGGTTCCCTATGATTCATAGCCCTTCAGTAAATGGCTGTTGGRCAAATCCARCGCTTTGTTCTTAGCAAATYCTGAACTTCGCTGTGGGTAGGAAGRCGAGTTCTCTTTATGAAGAAGCAGYTGAAACAAACACAAAAAACAAATGTATGATCCAGCTGAGAGAGCTCCAGTGCTCATTTGAAATTTCAAACGCAGCCAGATGCAGCTGGAGGGGGGGAAGCACAGGCTCCTCTTCTCAGATCTGCCAGCGAGTGCCTGCAGTCGAGGGAGAGATGAAAAACCACTCACTTTGCCCACATGTAAAATTAATGCACTAGAGGTGGTAGTCCCAAATGGGCTTGGGACTGTGAATTGCCTTGACATCTCTGCACACAGGGGATCCTGGAGGGATGCSTCCCGCAGCTGGGATATTGCTGATTCTGCTGCATCATGAGAAATGGAGCRTAGCTTTTATCTAGGGAGATCTCTGCAAGTGAGGCTGGCAGCAGGGGAGACTGATCCTCCCTACACCGTTCATTCACTGCTTTTGGACTTTGTGGCATGGCTAAACCCACCTTAGCTCCAAACTCATCCAAGCTGGTTCCTCCTACCCAGTAGAACACTGAAAAGTGCACTCAGGCCAGTTTATGCCAAGCAAAAACATCTTTCCTGCCCATGCCATTTCTGGGAAACATCACCCAGTGTTAGCCAAGAGCATTTCTTTGATGAAGTGAGGTGCTGACCGAGCCTGCAGAGCAGCAGGTCTCGTCAGCCACACGGCTGAGCGCAGCCTGCGTCTCCCCAGGCACTGTTCTGATGAGAACTGGCATTCCTGCTAAATGTCAGCCACATCCATTTCACAGCAAGGTCCGTATCAGCCTGGAGATTGTGGGAAGCAGCAGGTCAGGGGCCACCCTGGAGTTACTGCACAGCAGGGGCACATCAGGCASAACCAGTGGCAAGTTTCCAGAAGGGAATGGTTCCTGTCCATGTTTCAATTTTGGCTTGAACAAGGRCAAATCTGAGGTGCAGGTGCAAAGTTTAAGCTCATCCTCAAAAGCCAGTCTTCTGCCCCTGTAAAAGCTCTGCCCTGAAGCCAAGGAGGGGAGYGTTTCATCCAAGCTGCTTCTCTGCCATCTGATCACCAGCACAGCCCGGAGCTGTCCTCTGCCAGCTGCCAGCCTGACTGCTCTGAGACACCAGCTTGCTTCCCTGAGTCTCCATGGTGCTGTTTCCAGTGCTGGTGAGCTGGCAGGGAGAGGGCAAAAGGGAGAATGACAGGAGGAAATGCTTCAATTCATCGTTTTTTGTCTAAATTGCTRCAGCCCTTCAGGCTCCTTCCAAGGGCAGCACTTCTGGCCACATGTTTGGGAGAGCCCTRAAAACATTTTGAATAATGCAGTTAGGGAAAAACAGGATTTGCCAAATCAGAGGAAGGGCTCAGCCATCCACCTCCCTCACACTTCTTTTTGGGCTGCTCCCAGGGGGCTCAGTCAGGGCRAAAAGGAAAAGGCCAAGAGAACATRGTGGGTGAGGAGAATCCCAAAGGATCATGCAAGGGCTCAGCATTTACCGCCCTGAGGAAGCACCTGCACAGAACAACACAATTCCTGCCCCAGGATAACAAATTGTTGAAGGACAAAGGGAGGAAATTCCAAAAATAAATAACCATGGTGGTTCCAGAAAGCTGGGTACCCACAGGGCCCAGCCCGTGCCAGCTCCCAGCCTGTCTGCCCTGGGAGCACCAGCACATCCATGGGAGGAGCAGGTGGTTTGGGARCGGGATTGCTTCCCCTCCTCTCCCTCCTCCTCCCATCCAAGGGCATTTCTTCTGCAATCCTTCAGATTTGCTGTTCAGCTGGAAACTTTTCAAAGAGGAGCTGCATCTCAGTGCCTCCAAAGCAGCYCTGGGTACTGCCAAGCCTCAGGAATGTCACAAGAGTGACGGAAAACAGACAGCTAAGGACAGAAGGCCCAGGGGAGCATTTTTGGATCAGGAAARCATGTTTCTTTAAAATTGAGGCTTCTCTGCCAGTAAAAATTCTTGCCAAATTCAGCTGGGGAAGCCCTTCCCCCTCYACCTTCTGGAACACTTTCCTCAAGTTCCCACCTGGGAGGCAATATCTATTTCCATTGCCGGTGGCATTTGACTTTATGATGTCATGGTAGCATACTGTGAATTCAGGTTTAGAACTGGACTAAGGGACTTCAGYGAAATGCAAGACCCAAGCTGAGAAGAAGCCCTGAATTTTTGGTAGTGGCAGAATATTCATGTGTCCAGGCCTGTTTGGAACAGGCAGCTCTGGTACTGCCTTTGCCCCCTGCAGCCTTCCCCAACATTCCCCTGCTAAGAAGGCTTCTATTTCAGCCACATTTTCAACATCAGATTTGTTTTTCCAGTTTGGAAATAAGCAAAGCCTTCCTCAGATTTGCTGCAGCTGCCAGAGGGCACTTTTCACGAGGCACATTCAGTTCTAGGAGACTTATTTTGGGGGAGCTGAATTAAACCCATTTTGGTGGGCTGGCAAAGAGAGAACAGSCACCCCATGGGAGCCCATCTGCTGCTGGAAAGGCTCCTGGGTACCTCGATGCTTCCACATGCCACCTCCCCAATCTGGCACTGGCAAAGGATGCAGACAGAGGTGTCCCTGTGCCCAGGGCAAG